GTGCAATACGTACAAATATCTTTTTTCTTAACTGCTCTTATAACCTCCAGGGCATGTACATGCTTTGGTTCTTTAATCATGCAGTCACCACCTTTCTTCAAACTAAAATTACAGTGTGCAAAGTACAATTACCTTCCACTGGCCTCAGTAGTATTTATTGTGGTTAAAGTGAATAAACTCTGACAAGCAATTACAGTTATTTTAATGGCACAGATGCCATGTGTGTTAGCATTAACTGCTATTGTTATCCCTTATACTACAATTTCACCTCAGTCATTATTGTCACACACACACAAACATGATTAGAAGTGACACACAAGACGACTCAGCTACAGATTTGGTTACCGCTGACAGTAAAATGTGGTATTGGAACACTTTTTCAACACTTGCCTTCTTATAAAACTCTCTGGAAGTGCACAGCTGACCAGGAACACATGAACACCAATAAAAATACGTATGAACATTAAAGAAATGCCGACTGGAAAGTAAATCAGCAACAGCAGAAGAACGACAGCATCTTTGGGAAACCTGCAGAAAAACAGAGCAGAATCAAAAAAATGACATTTGGAATAGAAAACACAAAAGAAAAACAAATCTAAATGTAAATTTATAGTTGAGAGAATTTAAGTGATTTCCAAGGGATCTGTAGCAAGATTGCTTTATCCTGTGCGGATTATATTTCAAATGAACCAACACATTTTTAGCCCTTTTTTTATTTCCCAATTTCAAAATATAGACCTCACCATCAGCCTCAAAAATACCGTTCTGTGGTTTGAATGACAGCATCTTTCACAACCTACTGATCTTCTTCCTTTTATTACTGGATAAATGTGCACTGAGCCATAGCATGAACTCACATCAGAGTTTAACCATTTCACTCTATTGTTATTCAACTATGCAATGATATCCAATGATACAATACTGTGAAAAAGAGCCATCCATAATCTGTTTATGTTTTGATACGAAATGGTTATAGGTAGGGATGGGTATTGATAAGATTTTCACGATTCCAATTCCATTTTCAATTCTGTTTAACGATTCGATTCTTTATCGATTCTTTTTAAAAAAGGAGAACACTAAGGTTGATTAGCTTAGAACTTTGTTTTATATCTTCTCTTTGAACAAGATAGAAATTTAGGAGTAACATGGCCTTACAAACCCAACAGTGAGATCTTAAGAGATCCACAGCCTATGGCTCTTCAATGGGGTGTCACAGGGTCCCCAGGAAAAAAAATGTAAATGTAAAATAATAAAATAAATATTCTTCTGTAGCAATAACAAAGTATAACATAAGCAGGGATTTTTCTGTCTCACATGCATGCCCAGCACCGAGCACATAACCTTCTGTAGCAATTACACAAGAATATCCAGTAATGTCCCTGCCTACAATTAAACACATTCACTTACCGAAAATCGGGGGCATCTGCTGTGGCAAATGGGTGCAAGCCTTTTACCACAAACTTAGTCACTGCTCGGTGACATTCGTCTATCCTGGCCTGAAAGGAGACGCTACCGATAGACTGCAGCGAGAACTGCCAGCATCTGAGCCAGCTAGACTCTGCTAACATAATATGAACTGTTAGTTGATTATTTACCTGCCGCATTAACGGGAGAGGACGTGCAAATGTTACCGCTGCTGCTGGGTTGAGATTCACGAGTCCGGAGCGGAATTAAAAACACGACATTCATTTAAGGTTATCGCGTGTTTTGTGAGCAAATGCTTTTGCATATTCGTAGTGTTTCCTTAAATGAAACAACACACACTGAAATCCAGTACGTAAATCAAAAACAGAGTTTGTACAATTCCAAGCTTTCCTATTGTTCTCCAATCTTCTAGGAAGACATTCAAAGCTCTTCTCTCTGTCAAGATGATCCATCACTTCTAGAATAGTGTTGAGGTCCGGGGTCTGTGGAGGCAAATTCATGCTTGATGGTGTTCCAATTTGTGCTTTTCTATTCAGGTATGTTTTTACTGTGTTTTGCATGTGGCTGCAGACACTCACTGTCGTAATTCTTTCCTGTTCATACTGAAGAGAAGTTGAAGCAAAAACATGGATTCATCACTCCATCAGCCCACTGACCTCCACTGATCATACTTCATCCTTTTCTCCTCTTTTCCCTTCCTTAAGAAGGGCTTCTTGACAGCGACCCTTAGACTGAGACCATTTCCAATGAGTCTTCAGTGAACAGTAGCTGGATTAACTAAAGGGGCAGATGTATCTCTCAGGTCCTGTCAGGTCTATGGCAGATTTTTTTCCTGTTTCTTAAGGACTGTTTCCTGTTTCTTAAGGACATGACTTTCAGACACTTGCTGTAGATATTTTTTTTAAGCCAGCCACTTCATCTGTCCTCCTCTTGTCCAGTTTCCTCATATTTTCATGCCAGCAGATCTCGGCATGAAAATTTGAGGAGAATCACCTTTTTCTAGAAAACATATTATTCGACATCTGCCAAACTGTTATTTTTGACATTTTTCACAGATTCAACTAAAGAAATGGGAACATTTTATAGGTTTTTTCTTTTATAGACTGCAAGTAAAAAAGTGCCTAAAGATACAATGTAAAATTACTTGTTTTTGTTACCAAGTTTTCTGTTATGTAAAGACACAACATCATCCCTTGCATTAGGTGCTTTTTGTTGTTTGGATCAACTGCAGGGCCAGATGCATCTTTCAGGTCCTGTGACATGACTTTTACTGGCTCATCTGCTGTTGATAATTTTTAAAGCACTGCCATATAGTGTGCTGCAATATGTTACTGCAAAATGCCAAATTTTCAGCAAATAGCACTTTGGGAATCACCTTGTTGTGACAAAAGTATTATATTACGTCTGTCAAACTTTTATCTTTATGTTTTTGTGACAGACTGCTGATAACAAAGTAATTTAACATTGGTTATTTGTCAGGCTGTCTGCTATGTGTAGACACAACACTGTTTTCATGCCTGAAGGAATCATAGATCAGTGTTAAGTGGTCCATTACAAGGACTGGACTGAAAATGAGTGAAAAGGCAGCAAGTGTCTAAAGAATAACGTTGAAAGACCTTCAGAAATCCTGGAGAACCGATGCTCAAGACCACTTTAAAAAAAATACAATCAAGTCTGACGATATGAAGGGTGGCTCGAGGCACAGTACTGTACACACGTTAGTAAAACCAATCGCAGAGTTAGAGCTGCTTTTGTTTCAGCGTTTTTACCAATATTACACGTGTCACTACTCGATTCCCTCTGCAGTCAAGCGCTAGAGAACATTTCGAAACCTCATTATAAACGCTCTAGTCGTCATTACCACTGTCTACAGGCCTCATGTCCGCCCTCTATTCAAGTCAAAAACACTTTAGTATTGAAGTACACAACGACAGCTACTTTTGCGGTCAGTTTTTTTCTCCACTTTACACGCGCTCAAATATAATCTCTGACTTGTGTCTAGATCAAAAAAATTTAAGTCTTTTAAAAAACTTCACTCTTGGTTTTCACAAGGCAAGCAGTGAATACATGAAACCAACAGACATCTAAGATTAGCTAGTGCACGCATTTCATGCTGCAACTGATCGGCGTGCTTATTAAAATTAGCACTGGACAAGGTTTCATGTCAAACGCTATCCATGACTTGTTTACTATAACGTTGCCAGTATCGGCTATCTAGCTGCATGTTTTCCAGATTATTTAATACATCTTCTACTATACTGGTTAGCTGCTCGATAATAAACGTCGTCGACGCTATAACCTCTGTGTATTTCTTCAACGCGCTAATTAGCGCTAAGTGAAGGTTAACCGAGCAGTTTACACTACTTAGCAGTTAGCTGACTTACCGACGAAAGTCAAACATGTCTTCAATTCCCCGAGTCTCCATGTCTGCCAGTCAGACCTTCAGAGGCTAATGCTAAAAATACAACCTGACCCCTAAATATAAATTAGTCATTACTTTCACGACTGCACCTCTGTCATGCGGTGGGTAAACTGGAAACTGGGTAGCTTTAAGGAGCTAGTTAGATTATAGTACAGCCTTTTCAGACCGCTTAAGTACGCGACTTTAAAATGTTAGCTTTGTGGTTAAATAGCGCTAGCACAGATAATGGCTTCAGTCGGCACGACACCACTTCCGGTCCGTTGTTAGAATCCCCTAGAATAAAAGCGCCATCTCTACAAAAGTAAATTTATATAAATAATACTCGTTTCTAAATTCTACATTAGTGTATAATCTGGGAGTCTTTGTACCCAACCCTTCAATTACTTTCATGATTGCATGTAATCTATAACTGCGTGTTCATCTTTATCGGAGTGTCAGGTGCGATACTTTCAAAATAAAAGAGCAGCAGAAAAAACATAAAGGAGCACTAAAGACGTCCCCTAAAGGAAACGCTGGTAAAATGTTATAGTATTTTGTCTACCTCTAGTGGCGAAATCTGATAAATTTTAATTTGCAGGAAACGTAGTTAGTATGTTTGTTACCATTTTATTTTAATGAATCTATTTATTTATTCCAATGATGAGCTGAACGTCTTTAGTCGCCCCTCTTTTCTTTTTTTTTACTGTGTTTATAGTCAGCAGTTTAGGGGGGGGGAAGTGTAGCGATTTATTGAAACATGTGCAAACATATGTGTAAATACAGTATGTAAGGCAAAACCAGAGTTTGTACAACTCTAAAGAGCTTGAAACACCACTGGCTGAAATGCAACACCAAACGGTGACAGAACCTCCACTAATAGCTGTTTGGTTCTTTGCTAAGTTGTCTGTGAAGTGCAGGCACCACCCTGTTTCATCTCTTGAATGCTCGAATGATTCATAGGTCAGTGCCAGGTGCCTTAACAAACAAACGAAAAACAATATAATCTGAAAATGATCAGGCACAACGACTGGACTGAAGTGAGCGAATATCAGCCAAATGTCCAAACAACAGCTTCAGAAAGCCAGAAAGACACATGCTGCCCTACAGACCTATCAGCGACAGCCCTGCCTGAATAATAAATATGGGAATTATCATGAACACGCCCCCGATAAAAGCTCAGTCTCCGCCTACAGCCTCTCAGATTTGTTTGGTAATAGCCTCTTGTATAATCGCTGCTTAACTGAAAATCGATTTTTGTGTGAAGAAAACAAACACGGCTGTTATTTAAGTGAGCGCAGACTGGACATCGGTCCTTTCAGTCGGTGACAACACACGGGGCCAACATGGTGGTCATATTGCGCTGTTGCCCGCTAATCCAGTGGCTGTCCCTGGCCGTTTTGCTGGGCTCGATTTTCGGACTCGGTGAGGACCTCGACCGGCCTCTCTTCGGGCCCCCCGGCTCTTCTATCCGGGTCCACGAGTCCGACCCGGGTCTTAAGAAGGCTCTGGCCTTTGCAGAGGAGCAATACAACCGGGTCTCCAATGCGATGCATCTCCGCAGAGTCAGCCGGGTCATCTCTGCCAACAAACAGGTATAATTATTATTGATGGCTTTCCTTCTGATTTTATAATATTTATTCAACATATTTTGGTCCTCTAGTGTACTTGCAAAGAACGGTTAAAGTATTTGTTGTTTATTGATTTATGTCATTGTAATAAGCGTTGCGTATGCTCGGTTTTTTTGTAAACAACGGCGCTGCTGCAGGGTCGTCATTTTAGCTAAACACAGGCCGGAAAAAGGGGCGACGTACCTTCGAAATAATAGCGTAAACGTCTTTGCTGCGCTGGTCAGCAAGGGATTATGCTTAAACAAAAAACAAACAAAAATGTATTCCTATTTATTTACAATTTTCAAGAGTTTTCAACTTAGAGAACAGTATTTATTATTTTATTTTACCTATTTTTATTATCAAGCGTTCAAGATAAGATTTTATGCGCGGTTTACTGCAGCCGGAAGTTATGTCCTTGACTTTAAATTAACAGTGTCTCCGCAGTGTGGCTTGTTTGGAGCATAACGAGCATCCATAAAACAATAACACGCATTATATTTTATACCACGTCTAAATAAAAATCTTTATTTATACCAAGATTTTGTGTCTTTAAATTAAAGATGTCCGAATGTTTGTGTGTTTATCTGTATTCCAGCTGGTTAAAGGGATCCGTTACACTTTAACAGTGGAGCTGAGTAACACTCAATGTAAGAAG